AGTCTCAAGCGGACAGACGGACAGACAGAATGGGAATAAACGTAAGGTGTTTAACTGTGAAGTTTTAATTTTTTACAAATCTCTTACCCATATTTTTCCTCATCTCACAGAAAAAAAATAGAAAGAAAGGAATAAAGAAAATGAAGAAAAGAACAAAGGAAATAGAGGAAAAACGAAAAAAAAAAAAGAAGAAATAAAACGAAAATAAACTAAAGAAAAAGAAAAAAGAAAAATAGAAAAGGAAAGAAGAATGGTTAAAAGATAGCAAAAGATAGGGAAAATAAAATAAAATGTAAGAAAAATGAAAAGTGGTTCCTATTTAAATCGCATCAAAATGAATTGTAGAGAGATATGACTGCGACTTTTAATCGRATCGAAGTCTGTCTACCATGACGTAATCGCGGTCATTGAATCGTGCGGTGTTTTGCGTGCTCGTGATCAATTCTGTGTGCGCTCCATCAATCAATCATTCATCTGAGAAATTCTTTAACTCTTTTCTCTTTCAGGCAGAACATAAACACCAAGTGAATATATTCTCGTTGGCMGGTCAACTTGGCTACAGTCGGTCTAATAAATCATGACATTTCAACATCCTATTCAAAGGAGCCAGGGAAACCCATTTGATGTCTACATAGAGTTTTCTAGATTTTTTAAATATTATTATTATTGTTAATGCCGAAATCAAATGGAAAAATAAATTGAAGAGAAAAGCATTATTTATTTTCGTCCCGCTGATTGAGCGATATTATAAAAGCGGTGACGTTAATTATCTCCAGGCGACAMGACGTCAAGGGATCGACCTCGTTTTCATTTAGGGGTAAAAAAGGAAAAAGAAAAGAAAAATACACCTGCCTACCCCATAATGCAATGGGGTCATGGTTTCGAAGGAAAACAGACCAAATTGAAATGTACCAGGCATATTATTCATGTATACATTTCTGAATTCTCCGTATTTTAACCGTTCTTATAATAGTATTTATAACCTCTAGGATATCATATAAATCTGTAGAGATGATTAAGACAGGGATAGCTCAGCCGGATTGCAAAGAAAAGGTAAAGTTATGAGTATTTWGAGTCGCTCGTGTGAGTATAATTTTCGTGTTTGCTTTTCAAAATATAGTAGTTATTTACCTTTTGTCTTATTGAGGGGTTTAAATTTAAATGAAAAATATGTATTAAGAAGAACTTGACCTTGTTCTAGTAAGATGAATGCGAGTTTTGGTTTTATTTCGAGTTTATTTARTGAACTCTGTACCTCGAATTTCAATGCGTAAAATCTCATGTATTATTTGTGATTCACCAACTTGGATATTGAAGAGAAATTCTCTTGCTAACGAATCACGAACTAAAACATTTCATTAGTGAGATATGTTGTCTTCTCATTCAGAAACGATTTCTAAAACTAAACATTACTGTGTGAGGCCCTTTCAAGCCATTTAATTTTGAATTCTTTGAACATTGTGGAGGAGGGGATCGTGTCGTTTATGTCGTTCAATGCGATTCAGCAGCCACCTACGGATTAAGAATATTCTCTTCATAAAGTAGAAGAAAAAATATGGTGTTATATTCCATATTAATTGACAAATTCTAACTAATTTTACCACAAGCTCAAAAAAACAAATTGCTTTATATGCCACTCAAAACTGGTTTCACGACTTAAATCGATTAGAAAATATATATAGTTACTCCAGATTTTCCTTTGTTCCCATTCGATATTCCTTGTTCTAGCTAGCTATCTAGAGTTTTAAACCTTAACGTTGGCGATTGAATTTATATTCTGGTATCAAGCCATGGTTTTATTTTTATTCTTTGGCACAGATGAAGCGACTGTCTGACCAAAATACCTGCAGAAATTGTGTCGAAAGATTACCGCGATAACATATATACTTTATCTTATTTCCCCCMAAAATAATTAAGTCCACCATAAGCTACATTATTTTGAAGACTCTTGTTTAAGATTTTTACAATTAATCAGCATAAGGTTTAGCTTTAGGAATGCTCTCGAGCAGAATCTTTTTTTTTTTTTGAAACTCGATATTTTACGGCATGTTTCTGAGGCATAAACATCTTTTTGCTATAAATAAATAATAGCGTTCTAGTTTATGATAAATGTCTCGCTCTATTACCTTGAACTTTGGTTAAAAAAAAAGAATAGTTATTGTATTATGTTACAACTTCATTTTTGCATTTTTTACAATCAACAAAATAAAATAATTTATTTTTATATTTATTTAGGATCCTTGGAATTGGATGGAGATTTTGAGNTTTAGGATCCTTTGGAATTGGATGGAGATTTTGAGGAAGAGTTTGCAGAACTTAGGAAATGTCCTAGTAAGTGATTACGTATTAACTAAGTTTATAATAATTATACCAATTCTTGCACAATATTTGTTCATGTTTGAAATATAAAGTTACACTTAGGAATAACAGTATTTTCTCTTAAGGACATCTGTGGCTTTACTGGTGATTAGATTTTATTATCCTTTTATTTTTAAGCACAGGCAATATTTTTAGTCAGATATAAACAATATGCCTATATTTGTTTGAAGTTGGAAGCAAGTATGGCTTTGTTTTGCTGGCGTTTAGCTTGAGGTCTTAATTCAGTCCTAATGCAATGTGCACCGCACACACTTGTTTTGTCTAATCCCTACATAATAGAATGTTTTAGCCTAAATTGGAGAGGGATGTAAGAGTGAAAATGGTTAGGGGGTTCAAAATGCWGTATCGTAATATGAAACACATTTATATAGTTTATCTTACCAAGTGCATTGGGGTTAATATAATTATGCAGAAACTATTTGTTCTGATTATCATAAAAAAATAGGAAAATGACCAATTTATTGGCATTATAGGGCGAAAGAAGATATGGGGGTTAGCCTATCGATCGAGAATATCTCTGAATTGAAATTTAGAAGTTGATTTTTGCATCAAGAAGGACAACTCTATAAGCCCTGCAACCCTACCCCCTTCTTTTACCCCCTCCTCTAAGTAAGCTGTGCTACCATTCCTGTTAGCTTTAATTATTCTTAAAATGGAGTGTTGAAAGTGGGAAAATATTTGCTAAGGATTTTTTTATTTAGTTTTCTCGGAGAGGCAAAAGAGTAGACCTGTACTACCAGCTACCAGGGAGCGCAGTTCGATAAAAAGTTTAATCAGGTACTTGATTAAGACAAAAATGCTAGTTCCAGAATTAATTATCCATACCCCCCTCAGAAATTCCAATTTTCTTCCATACAAACTCTATAATTTTTGTTCTTTCTCTGTCCCCCATCCCTTTGGAAATTCCAATTGCTGCAGTCTGTGGTGTGGGTATGAATAATTTCTTGAACTACACATTTAAGTCATTATTTATTATAATTTGACACAATTATGCAATCAAACTTCAGTTTCTTTCTTATGTTTCAATGACAACCAGATGATAAAAGATGTATCTATCTGTCATCAGTATAACTTTATAAACTAATTAGGATTTTGACAACAATACCACGAAATATTGACGGCTAGTTGGGAGAAAATATATTACGATTTTATCATCTCGAAATTGTATGTTCTCGAAAAAAGAAAAAAAAAACCTGACTGATTTTCTTTGATTAAAAGCGTGCTATGGTGCAAGCAACAAGCGTAAAAATTTGACTTGCACGCGCACTCAAGCTTTCCTTTTCGTCACGCGTTAGCCAATCAGAAACCTTAATTTTGAAACACTTACCACAAAATATTGTCGTCTCAAAAATATAAGAAACTATTTAATGAATTGCGATGCATTATGAATATCTGTGCAATTAATAGGTTCATGAAGTCTGCTGTAGGCAAAGATCTGACCAAAGTGACTATGCCAGTTCACTTCAATGAACCACTGTCATTTCTACAGGTAAGTCAGATTAATTGGTATGAATCATATTACTACTATTTTTGTTGCAACAAATAATCTTGACAGGAAAATACACAATGAAACTACTCATTTTGATAGGGTAACTAGATTTATACAGTATTTTTCATCCAGGGCCTTTCTTGCATTTGAATTAGAATTTAGGAGTTGATTTTTGCAATGAGAGGGAAACCAGAGATATACTGGAGAAATTACTGTCGAAGCACCAGGCAGAGAGAACCAACCAACAACTCTACTCACARATAMAACAAGTCCAAAAATTAAACCCAGGTTGCATTATTATATACACCACTTGTGCTTTCCATAAATTAGGCAATATCACTGCAATCATTCAAGTAAATTGTTATTAGTTACATTAATTATTGTTAGTCAATTAGTAGTTACGTTGTAAGTCAAATAAGATTATGGAAGGGTACAATGGAATCTACTCAAACCATTTATTTGATAGACAGAAGTCTATATTTGCGCTATTTCTGTGTCTCGACTGTTGTGAAAGAGACAGTACTTGAATATGATTGGATGATTCATTTCGTCAAATATCTGTTACCCTGTATAAATCACCTTTTATTAACTAAAAATTTTGCATTTTATGAACCGTAAATTTTGAATATATTTAACAGAGACTATCAGAAGATCTGGAATATGCTGACATACTAAACAGAGCATGTGGTAATTACTCCAGTTTCAAGTTCTCTGTTGCTCAAGGGTAGGGGTGGGTAACTTAATTACAAATTAAGGTTTTAACAGGAATTTCAGGAAAAGGGGATTGACTGTTACTAACGATATACTGAGAAACTGGTTTTTTTTTTTGCATAGGGGGGGAGTGGTAGCTAGTCACCTCTTTTACCACCCCTGGAACTGCCCCTGCAGAGTTTAAGCCTAACTTATGTCCATAGAAAATTTACATGTTCCAGTGAAGGTCCTATGAATTTCAATTTGTTGATATTGTTGAAGTTGTGCATTCTTTACCTTAGCGTTGGTATTTGTGAATATTCTGATGCTGAAATGAGGCTAGCCTGGCTGAGTAAATGAGTCTGTAATCTTAATGAGTCTGTGGCTTAATATACAACTTTGAAAATTAGTCTATTTCAAAGATAGTACAACATGCAACATTTAATCTAAAGAGTGAAGTATAATGACTTGTGTATATACTGTCAATAAATGTGATGCACATGCCTGTTTCATGAGAGTCGCACTTAATTAACAACCAACTAGTGCCTAACAAAACCTGTGGCCATCATTCCATGATAGAATTGGAAATTGGAAATTGATTTTTGTGATACCAACCACATAATTAATATTAACTTCTAATTAAGCTCCCTTAACTTTCTTTTATATATTTTTTTCAGTGTGTAAAAACTCCTTTGTAAGATTGGCTCACGTRGGAGCTTTTGCTTGTTCTACATACTCAACAGTATTGTCCAGGTAAGTAGTTGATCATCCTGAGTCAAAGAAGTAAAGTAAGCCATAACTGACAGGGCTGCCATGATGACTGGCTTGCATTCATGACAAGTGCTTGAAAAAAAATTATGTGGGTTAAACATTAAAGTTTTCAAATTCTCATGAGTGTTGTTTTTTATTTTGTCAGACTATATATTAAATAGTTTTTTATCGATATTATATATTTATAGTACATTATTAATAAACAGTGGCTGTTGCCGGAGTCTCACGATAATTAAAAACAATGTTGCTAAAGGTTCTTATCCTTTCCATTTTTTCTCCATTTCTTTACTAAATTATATTTAGGTTCTGGAAGCCTTTTAACCCTCTTCTTGGAGAAACCTTTGAATAYATCAACACAGATCTTGGCTATGCACTTATAGCTGAACAGGTACAGTAAGTTTTTTGTTTAACAGCGATCACCCCTCCTAAATTCCAATCCCTCTCAACTGTAAGCCAAGGTATGGATATGTGC